TAACTGAGATTACAGGCACCTGCTGTCATGCCCAGCTAACTTTTTTTGTATTTTTAGTAGAGAGGGGGTTTCACCATCTTGGCCAGGCTGGTCTTGAACTCTTGACCTCGTGATCCACCCGCCTTGGGCTCCCAAAGTGCTGGAGTTCATAGGTGTAAGCCACCACGCCCAGCCTGAGAATTTTAATTTCTTACAGCTCTAAAATTGCCCTTAGTTTGAACAACTAATGAATGAATGAGCTCTGTGGGTTGCCAAAGTGTTTTGCTCTGGGCCTCTGTGGTCCTGGTGGCAGGCGTTGATACGTCTCTACTCCCCTGCCCTGACTTCACCCTCTTTCTCCCGGCAGTTTTCTCTGGGGATGAGACCAGGGAGAAGATTGATCTGGTCACCTACTTTGGAAGGAGACCCCCAGGCGTGCTGCACTGCACAACCAAGTTTTGTGACTACGGGAAGGCCCCCGGGGCAGAGGAGTATGCTCAACAAGATGTGAGTCTTCCCCAGGGTCAACATGGCAGAGGTGGCGGGTGGGGGTGGCAAGAGGCTGCAGCGTCTTCTGGAGATGGTCCCAAGGGACCAAAAACCGGATGTCAGCTCAAGAAAAATGGCATCTCCTCCTAGCTCCCCTGTCCCCAGGCGTATTTGCATAGACCTCAGCCATAGGTTCTAAGGAGCCTGCTGTGGCAGTACCACCAGCCTGTGCATTCGCCTGCCCCCAGGCACCTTCTCCTTCTGCAGATGCATGGAGAATGCTGGGCCACAGTGGGCTCCTGCTCTGGCCTCTCTCAGCCTGTGTTACCTTCCAAAGGCTAGGAGTCCCTTGCCCCCAGGCCTGAGGCCTAGCCTTAGAGTGAGGGAGTGTCATAGGAGAGTGAAGCTTATTGGCTAATAGGGTATTAGGTGTTTCTGCACCAGACAGCCGGCACCTTACGCCCACAGCCACAGGCGACGGTGATCCTTGAATGCCAGGCCTGTCTCAGATCTGCAGTCTCCAACCTCTTCCAAGTGTCCAACCCCAAGCCCACCCTCCCACTTCCCTGCCTAGGGTATCACAGTTGTTTGTTTGCTCCCCTAGAGCAAGTGTTTTAAGTTTCGTTGATTCCAGCACCCTAGCATAGTGGAATGAATATGTAACACCTGCTGCTACCATCCCTAACCATGCCTTCATTTAGCATTTATTAAGCACCCATTTCATGCCAGACGCTGTTCAGACAAGCAGTTGTGAGCAAAAATAGAGAAGCTTTTATGCTGAGATGGGGTGGGCTTAAAGAATCAGATAGAAGCAGACATATCATCGGATGGGAACCAACGTGAGAGAGCAGGTTCTGATCAAGGGCAAGCCTGACCTCACCTCGCACTCCAGGGCGCTGCCTGGGTCCCAGGGGAAGCTGAGTGGTGCCAACAGTGGCAGCAGCTACATGTGTACACACCCTCGTAGGCGCTCACCTACTCACTCCCATAACCACATTAACTCTGAGGTAGGCTCTAGTTCTCCCTGCTTTATGGGTGATGAAGCCAAGGCACAAAGAGGTCAGCCAGCCTGCTGAGGCCGGAAGCAAGTGTGCAGGGAGCTGGGCTTCCTGGGGAAGTCCGGCTTTCCCTGCTCGGCCTTGTCTGAGTGCCTTGGCATTTCTCACTTGAGCCTGAGCTGTGCTCGTGGAAGGTGTGTGGTATTTGTGCCTGCTGGGCCTATGCCTGACCCCTGCTCAGCTGTGCTCACTTGGGTTAGACTTCCCCTTCTCCTCCAGGAGGGACCCTCCTTGGGTCACCTATTCAAGGGGCCACCATATTTAGCTTGGGCCCTCTTTCTCCTTCTCCCCAGGTGTTAAAGAAATCTTACTCCAAGGCCTTCACACTGACCATCTCTGCCCTCTTTGTGACACCCAAGACGACTGGGGCCCGGGTGGAGTTGAGCGAGCAGCAGCTGCAGTTGTGGCCGAACGATGTGGACAAGCTGTTGCCCACTGACAACCTGCCGCGGGGAAGCCGCGCTCACATCACCCTCGGCTGTGCGGCTGACGTGGAGGCTGTGCAGACGGGCCTTGACCTCCTAGAGATTGTCCGGGAGGAGAAGGGAGGCAGCCGAGGCGAGGAGGTGGGTGAGCTAAGCCGGGGCAAGCTCTATTCCTTGGGCAAGGGGCGCTGGATGTTGAACCTGGCCAAGAACATGGAGGTCAGGGCCATCTTCACGGGATACTACGGGAAAGGCAAACCCGTGCCCACACAAGGCAGCCGGAAGGGGGGTGCCTTGCAGTCCTGCACCATCATATGAGTGTTCTTACCACCATGTATGCCCCTCACTCTTTAGAAGGGAAGGGGAGAGGGAAACGTGTCCTGCTTGATCCTTGTTGTGTGACTTTTTTACTCAAAGTTAACCTACCTATAACTTTTTAAAAACTTGTAAAATAACTGACTCTCCCTTCCTGTCCTGCCCTCTTTCCCTCTAATGCTCGAACTCCCAACACAAGGTGGGCAGGGAGGCACCGTTCAGGAACCTGGACCAAACCTAACAAGGCTGGGCCAAGCTAGGCATGGGGCCACAGCCAGGACCCCAAGCCCAGAGCCAGGTGAGTGGGGAGACACCTGAGCCCTACAAAACTCACTGACTGGAGGCAGGGGGTCTGGGGTAGTTTTCCGCGGTCACAGAGAACTAGTGGTGGCCTTGAGAAGGGGAGGACCTCTGGTGTTTGATTCCATCTCCTTCTCTTTATTCTTTGTTTTTAGAGACAGGGTCCTGCTGTGTCGCCCAAGCTGGAGTGCAGTGGTGCAATCATGGCTGACTGCAGCCTCAAACTCCTGGGCTCAAGTGATCCTCCTGAGTGATCTCATCTTTTTTCTTTTTTTTGACACTGAGTCTTGCTGTGTCCCCGAGGCTGGAGTGGGACTGCAGTGGTGTGATCTCGGCTCACTGAAACCTCTGCCTCCCAGGTTTAAGCGATTCTCCTGCCTCAGCCTCCTGAGTAGCTGGGACTATAGGCACCTGCCACTACACCTGGCTAATTTCTTGTATTTTTAGTGGAGACGGGTTTCACCGTCTTGGCCAGGCTGGTCTTGGAACTCCTGACCTCGTGATCTAGTAGTCTCAGCCTCCCAAGTGCTGGGATTACAGGTGTGAGCCACTGCACCCGGCTGAGTGATCCCATTTCTTAATCAGTGTAGCCCCAGGAAGGCTGGGGCTATTTACCAGGGTAGAAAAAGGAGCCTACCTCCCACCTTTAGTCCTAAGTTCCTGCCCCCTCCCCTTCACACCATAACTAGGTAACAGTTTGATAACTAGAGAAGAAAGCAGAACAGTTAAGCAGCTGCCACATCCCACCAGCTGGGGCCTCACTCCAGGAAGGGGCCAGACTGACCCTTCTTTCCAGTAGCGTGGCTCTGCTGTGGTGAGGAAGCTCCAGTCCTGCTGTCCGCCCAGCCCATCCTGCCTCCATGGTGCCTCTGGAGGCCTCTGGGCCTCCTCTAACGGGGGCTGGTGGGCACCAAGAACCAATGGAGTAGAGCCCTGGCTGGTAAGAGCCAAGTTCCACCAGTTGCTTCTGGGAAGGGGTCTCTAATACTGGTCCATGTGCTGTGGTTCCTGGGGTGCCCCCTCCACTGTCCTCAGTTCAGTAACTGGGCCTTGCTAATCAGGTTGTCACTCAACAAAAGTGCTTTGGATTTAAGTTACTATCCTGGCTTTGCCCAACCTCAGCAACTTGTAAGACTGATAATGAAATAAATCATGTTAATCCTAGCTGTGTGCAGTCTCTCTTACCCTTCTGTGCCCAGCTCAGTCTTCCCTGGAGCTAGGGCTGGGTGTATTAGGACTGGCTTTGTCCCACAGCTTGGGGCCATCGGTCCTGTCTCCCCTCTGCTGGCCGGGCACAGCTGTGGTGAGGTTGGGCAGCTGAACAGTGTTGGCTTTCATGAGGAGGCAGAAAGCAGAGGCTGGCCTCAGACTCATACAGAAGGTGGGGGTTGGCTGGGTACAAGGGACACGGAGCACAAAAGCCTCTCATACCCCATTAACGAGGGAACCAGGCCCACAGGTGTCCCCAGCCCCCTGGATCAGAAAGGTCTCTCAGTAAGACCTGAAGCTCCTAGAATGGGTTTCTCCCAGTTCTCTAGGGAAGGCCACCTGAAGGTCAGTGCAACTTCAGGCACCAGGAAAGACCTAACATTTGAGTCCCTTCCAAGGCCGCCAGAGGCCTTGTCAGCCACATGGGAAACATCCCAGGCCTGACTTGGGCATCATTTCACCATGGCTAAGGCACCAGCCGGGGAAGACTAGAAAGAAAGGGGCAGGAGCTCAGAAGAAGAGAAATCCTAAGTTATCTTTCTAGGTCAAGGCCTGTCCCTGGCCATCTCTGAGCTTTAGCTAGAGCTTCAGCTAGAGCTTCAAGTGTCTCCCTAGAGCTCCCAAGAAGGCTACTCACCTCGAACACCATGCTTGACAGGACATTGTGGCGCATGCTGCTGCATCCGTGAGCAGAGTGTCTCCTGCATGCAGAGAGGGAGTGGAGAAGGCCAGGGGCTTTTACTAAAAATAGCTGATTGACCAGACCAGAGCTCTGGAGCCACCTGTCCCACTTCAAAAAGGTCTGGGAGTCAGGAGGCAGGGTTATTTCTGTCTACCGTCTCCCTCAAACCCACATTGCAACAGGAACTAAGAGCCTTTGTAAGTTAAACTGCCCTGTGTAGGTCAGTACCCACCTGAGCTTCTGGGTGAGCTTTGGATGCACACGGCTTCTAGTGACTTCTGGGGCCCCCACCGTAAAGCGAGCATGCTTTCTCAACTCACTTCTCCATGGCTGATGTCAGGCTGGGCCCAGGGGCATAGCCCGGGTCTGCCCAGCACTCACACGCTGGACAGGTCTGGGAGGGACAGAGCAGCACCACCTGCCACCAGGCTCAGGGTCCACAGCCCTCACGCAGCAGCTTGCTGCTCCCGAAGTCCAGGTCGGGCTCAGCTCTGGCTCAGACTCTCGAGTGACACAAAGCAGCTGCCACAGCAAAGGGCCAGAAAGGGCCAAAACAGTTTATTCTCTTCTTTTTTTTCCTTTTTTAATAAAGTTAAACAGTAAAACAAAAATTCACAAGCTGCCTCCCTGTCCACCCCCCGCCTCCCTCCCCTGCCCGCAGTCTTCAGCATTGGTTCCCTTTGCTTCACCCACTCACAGAGACACAGGGCATCCAACTGAGAAAACGAAACTGCTCTAAGTACACGGAGACGCGATGAAGGGAGGAGGTGAACTGTTTCCACATTCAAGATTAAACTGAGCAAATCTGCATGTTCTGGGTTCTGGGTGGTTGCCCTTCATTAGCCAAACTGAAAAAAGAAATTCCCTGGACCAGATGCTGAAAGGGAAAAGAAGGGCTGGTTAGTTGGCTGTGGATTTTCTAGGGAAGACCACTAGTCTGATTATGTCAAAGAGTCTTCAAGGGCTGCTTCAAACTCAGAGAGAGAAATTTTATGGGTATCAAACAGCCTAGGCTGTTTTTGGGTGCAAAGGGGAGCCTGTGACCACATTATACATGGGTAGCTTCTGCACACCTTTGCTCTTGCAGAGAAGCCTCCCTGGTCCTGCAGAGATGCAGTGGCTAAAGGTCCCGAGGTCCTAGGAACCTTCCTGTCTTCAGCCTCAGCAACAGCTGAGTGGATATGCCCTGCCAGCTGAGAATTCAGCCGCCTCCACTCACGGGCCCCTCTGAGCTGCCTAAGTGGCAGTGAGTGTGCTGGTCTGTGATCTCGGAACTCCCCAAAACAGCAAGCCGACCTACCTTCAAAGCTAAAGCCCCCAGGACCGCCGAAGAATGCCTTGAAGATATTGTTTGCATCAAAATCTGTACAGCAGGGTAAGTAACATGGAAGGGAAGAAAAGGTGAAAAGATTAGAAAGGTCTGAAGAGAACTGAGGACACAGAACAGATCTCTAAAGCTGTCCCAGATAGTCTCACTCCCCTCCTTTCCCAACACTTCAGACTGCATGTGAGCAAACCTGCCCTGTCCTGCACAAAACATGCTACGTGATCCCACTCCCAGGACGTGTTCCCTTCCCCTTCCAAGTGCTGCCCCAAAGAAAAGCTTTCTCTGCTTCAGCTTGCTTCGCTGGGCTGTTTTCTCAACAAATGGGAATGCCATTTGCACTTACACAAGACACTCCCCGTACTCGCCCTATAATGCTGGAGTGGCTACTAAAAAGGATAAAATGTATCACTTAAAATGTTACCAAAAATAAAAGAACAAGATCTAGGATTTACTCTATTTAAGTCCATGTCTTTTACACTGTAGACTCTGCTTAAAAAAAAAAAAAAAAAAAGCTATGGTTTATTAGCTGGGCTTAGCTGGGCGTGGTGGCTCACACCTATAATCCTGGCACTTTGGGAGTCTGAGGTGAGAGGATCGCTTGAACCCAGGAGTTCAAGGCTGCAGTAAGCTATGATCACATCACTGCACCCCAGCCTGGGTGACAGAGTGACATCCTATCTCAGTAACAACAACAAACCAGCAAAAACACCTACTAGGTGCTAGTCAAGGTGCTGGGTACTTTGCATACACTATACTACTTAATCCTAGTAACAATTTGTCAGGGTACGTATCATTCCCAATTATACTCAACAAAACATATGTAGGTGGTTTAAGTAACTTGCCCAAGATCACAGGCAGAAAGCAGCAGACCTGGAAAATCCAACTCCTGCCTGACTCTCTGTGTGCTCTCTGTGAGGCCACAGCACGTCGGTGGCCCCATCCCTGACTGACTTCCTGAGCTGCAGAGAAGGACTGATCTCCACCAGGTGCTCCCACAGCCACCCCGTGTCCAGAGTTTTTCTGCTGGCATCTGTGTATCCTCCTGGGCTCCCCTGCTCAGTGAATGACCCCAAGAGTCGGCTATGCCTAAGTCACTCTCCCCAGCATATCTAAGCAGCAATCAACTCCTGCTGAATCTCCCACTGTCTCCTGACTGTCCTCCAATCCCTTCCTACCCTTTCTTCCATCTCCATCCTCCTTACTCCTTCTAAACCCCCTCCACACCTCTATATCATAAATATATTTCCAGAGCCAAAATCTGGTCGACAGTGCCCCTACTGCAAACTCTTCACTACTTAAAACTGCTTACAGCTCTTCTTAACTGCTGGGCAGAGGAACATGTTTATTATGGTGAACCTAGGTCTACTGACTCAGCATTATCTATATAGTACCATCATTCTTATTTTAAATTCCAGCTGGGCGCAGTGGCTCACATCTGTCATCCCAGCACTTTTGGGAGGCTAAAGCGGGTGGATTACTTGAGGTCAGGAGTTCGAGACCAGCCTGGCCAACATGGTGAAATCCCATCTCTACTAAAAAATACAAAAATTAGACAGGTATGGTGGGGGGTACCTGTAATCCCAGCTACTTGGGATGCTGAGGCAGGAGAACTGCTTGAACCCAGGAGGTGGAGGTTACAGTGAGCCAAGATCATGCCACTGCACCCAGACTAGGCAAAAGAGCAAGACTCGGTTTGAAAAAAAAAATTCCAATAGATTTTCTTAGCGGAAGTTTAAGGGTTAGCATTAGAGATGGTGGTCTGCGAACTGTCCACAGCTCAGGGCCTCTTATCTCTTGAGAGTCCAAAGTGAGCAACAACACTGACAACAGCTGTGCTTTGTATCATGCCAAGTCTTTTTGGGAAATTAAAATCCAGTGTTTACAGGAACATATGACGGACACAAATACCAGCATACAGTTTGCAGTGGGTAAAAAAGAACTTCCAGATCAGGCGTCCCCAAACTTTTTACACAGGGGGCCAGTTCAATGTCCCTCAGACCATTGGAGGGCCACCACATACTGTGCTCCTCTCACTGGCCACCAATGAAAGAGGTGCCCCTTGCTGAAGTGCGGCGGGGGGCCGGATAAATGGCCTCAGAGGGCAGTGTGCGGCCCGTAGTTTGGGGACGCCTGTTCCAGGTAATAGGAAAATGCCCATATTCCATATCACATACAGCCCTCATGGCTGTGAGCTCTGATCCAGCTACCTGCCGCCTTCCACCACCACCTGCCTCTAGCACCCTATCCTTTATCTTCCTAGACAGAGCCCCCTGCAGATCCCCAAAAGGGGCATGCTTTGGTTTGCTTTTTTTTGAGACTGAATCTTGCTCTGTTGCCCAGGCTGGAGTGCAGTGGTGCTCTCACTGCAACCTCCACCTCCTGGGTTCAAATAGCTGGGATTGTAGGCATGTGCCACCATACCCAGCTAATTTTTCTTTCTTTTTTTTTTTTTTTTGAGATGAAGTCTCACTCTGTTGTGCAGGCTGGAGTACAGTGGCGCCATCTCGGCTCACTGCAACCTCTAACTCCTGGGTTCAAGTGATTCTCGTGCCTCAGCCTCCCAAGTAGCTGGGATCACAGGCACCTGCCATCACACCTACCTAATTTTTGTATTTTAGGAGAGACGGGGTTTCACCATGTTGGCCAGGCTGGCCTCAAACTCCTGACCTCAGGTGATCCACCTGCCTCAGCCTTCCAAAATGCTGGGGTTACAGGTGTGAGCCATGGGGCCATGCTTTTCTGCACTTCCAGGCCTTCCCTTGCTAGTGCTCGCCTCCTCACAACTCACTGCACACTGTGAACCTGCCACACTTGACTGCATTAATTTGACTCCATGTCTGTTATTGTTTGCACCAGGGATCAGATTTGGCCCAAACAGACTCTCCCTCTGGAGCATCTTTGGAAAACACTCTAACATTCCACAGCTGTCAAATTCACCCCAGGCTGCCCCGGCCAACTCACCACCCATGTTCATGCCCTCCTCATCCAGGTCCTGTCCACTGTCATAGCGAGTTTTTTTCTTGGGATCAGAGAGAATGGTAAAGGCTTCTCCAACTTCCTTGAACTTCTTCTCCTCCTCCTTCTGAACCTCAGCACTGGCTCCACTATGCCGATCTAAAGTTGGGAGTAAAATAACAACTCAGAGGAAGTCAGAGATTCAAGAAAACAAAATTTAAGAGAAAAATCACTTTATGTCTGATTTTGGAACTCAGCATTTCCCCAAATGTGGAGGGTCCACAAGTCTGCAACACCTTATTCTCAGCTGAAGAACCTCTCTCTTCCATCATGGAAAGGTCAGAGGTTTAAAAAAAAAAAAAGCAGCTCTCCAAGGCGTCCCCTCTGGACTGAGGCTGGCAGTCGGCCTGCCCTGCGGGTTCTTCCCGCTGAGCCCCTCCTCCCACCTACTCTACCTGGATGGTGCATCAAGGCCCGTTTCCGGTAAGCTTTCTTGATCTCGTCCTCAGAGGCATTCTTGTCCACTCCCAGAATCTTGTAGTAATCTTTCCTCTTACTCTTCTTCAGTTCCAGCTGCGCATTTTTTAGGAGCTGTTTGTGTTCTAGAGGAAGACATCTGGCATCAGTGGACAAATCTAACTCTTTATTTTCTCCTCACCAGGTCTCAGCCCAGCTAGCTGGGAGTCAGAAGCCTTGTTAACCATGCCCGGCCTTTGCTCACAACTTTCTGGCTGGTGATCAAATACGTTCTAGGTACATCCCTGATCCCTGAATCACACTACCTTGTGTACAGATTTAGGGCTCACAAAGAAAGTCCACACCATTCCCTGAAAACCAAATGCTTTCAAACTTACCTTTTGTTTTCTCCGTCTGATATACTTTTTCATAGTCTCGTACTGCTTCTTCATACTGTTCTGTGTCCATGTAACTGAGAAGGAAATACAAGACAGTACAGCACTCAGACATGAACAGCAATGGTGCTCAGTATCACTCTAGGGCAGGAGGCATGGCTCAGGCAAGAGACACACCCTTTTGGTAAGATGCTTCTGAAACAGGAGACCTTAATCTAGCAGTCAGAGAAAATCAGCTATCAATTCCTCAACGAAGTTAAAAGAGGCCGCATGGCACTTACACCCAAACATTAAAGTGATGTTCAGCTCTGAGCGGAAAGTAATCAAGAGAAAAAAGTTCCTTCGGACACAGAGCCACCTAAGAGGTACTAGACTGCCTTAGAAAAGGCAATGTGGGCGGGGTGCAGTGGCTCACACCTGAAATTCTAGGATTTTGGGAGGCTGAGGTGGACGGATCACCTAGGTTCAGGAGTTTAAGACCAGTCTCACCAACATGGAGAAACCCCATCTCTACTAAAAATACAAAATTAGCCAGGTGTGGCGGCACATGCCTGTAATCTCAGCTACTCAGGAGGCTGAGGCAGGAGAATTGCTTGAACCCAGGAGGTGGAAGTTGTGGTAAGCCAAGATTGTACCACTGCACTCCAGCTGGGGCAACAAGAGCAAAATCTCCGTCTTAAAAAAAAAACAAAACCGGGCCATATGAAGGGACCTACTTGATTACTTGGGGGTGAAACACAGAAGAGAAAAATTATCAAGCGAGTAAATGGATATGAAAGAGCTTTGAAACCTACAGTGCCATAAACATGCAGGGCTAGCTACAATCCAGAGTAGAAGTGGGATTAGTGAGCTACTAAAAGGATCAAGTTCAACGTGGCGGCCACTGGCAAATCCTGCCACTAAGACCAATCAATGAGAGATGCAGGTAAATGAGACAGAAAAGGAAACTCTAAACACAAGTTTGCTTCTGTTTTGGTAACACAAAGGAAAGGAGGGGACCCTGGCCCAAGATGGGAGGAATCGAGCTTGACAGGCTGATTGCCAGATCTTTTAAGTGTCTCTTCCACAGAAGCAAGTGGCACCAAGGCTGGCCTACCAGTTAAAGACCGTGATAGGAGTTCCAGAGATAGCCACTGTCAGCTGTGGGATGGGAAGTGCTGCACAACAGAGAGTCAGTTTCTCACACTGCTACCCCACAAGCCCATTTTCACAAAATAAAATGAAAACGGAGGCCAGGGCAGGAGAATACTGTGGTACCACCCTCCTGCCCTGGCCTCCAAGCTGGTGGGCATCTGTAATGTTTGTGAAATCACAAACATCAAAAGCACCAAAAATATGGCTGGCAGAAGAGAGGCCCAACATCTTTGGCATCTTTGATCTTCTGGCAACATTTTGATTTACGACTTAAAAAAAAAAAACCAATGCTCTGCAAGCACAGAACATAAAAGTTACAGTAGGAGTTCAGAATCAATTTGCAGAACAAAATGTAATATAATTTGAAGAGAAAATTGATACTTTGATACTGCACCCTAGCCAGGGTGATAGAGCTGAATCCTGAATTTAAAAAAAAAAAGGAAAACTGATAGCTAATAGTCCTGGGTGTAAAATGATGTGACAAATGATGAACCCTGATGAATTTTCTTTAGGTCAATATGTAATGTATTAAACAAGCTATACTACTCTGCATTTTTTAAAATTCAGGGATATCCTCATATTTTAATTTCATTTTAAAGCTGAAGTAGGAAAGTAAATACGGCTTTAGGGAGAAAGGGTGAACTCGAGCTCATGACGGCGTGTGCAGCATAGATGCGGCGGGGGGGAGTGGCATCTCCCCAACTTTAGGAGTACACTGAGGCAGACTGCAGCAGTGGTCAGGCCTCTGGTAAGGGTTTGGCCTGAGCTAATCTTCAGTACTTCTTGTCAATTCCAGCTGCTTCAGGAGATTGCTGCCAAATACTCAGCCAGCTGAACAAGGCATGCTGTCTCCCCTGTAGTGATCTCAGAGGCAGAGCCACTCCAAGAAGGGCAGTTCTGTTTCTTTCTGACACAAAGATAAGAAGTTGTCTGATCAAAGCAATTCCTTATTTTTGTTTCTTGTACATAAACGAAGAAAAAAATAATCCTCCATCCAATTAGCCTCCGAGCAAATCAAGAATTTTCTATGATGTTAGCTGGAGGTTGCTTTTAAAAAAAAAAAAAAAAAAAAAAAGGCCTGGTGTGGTGGCTCATGCCTGCCTGTAATTCCAGCAATTTGAGAGGCCAAGACAGGCAGATCACTTGCAGTCAGGAGTTTGAGACCAGCCTGGCCAACATGATGAAACCCTGTCTCCACTAAAAATACAAAAATTAGTTGGGCATGGTGGCAAGTGCCTGTAATCCCAGCTACTTGGGAAGCTGAAGCCAGAAAATCGCTTGAACCCAGGAGGTAGAGGTTGCCGTGAGCCAAGATGGCACCACTGCACTCCAGCCTGGGCAACATAGCGAGACTCAATCCCAAAGAACAAAACTATTTTTCTGTTCTCTTCCCATCCCTTGGCACTCCATATACAGAGTATTCCATTAAATGGACACAGTATCAATTATCTAGTCACTCCCTTCCCACTGGACATGTAGGTGATTCTCCACCCTCTAGTTTTTTTTGTTGTTGTTGTTACAGATAAAATTGCAGCAAACACCTTCATGTATATAGCATTTTGTGTCTGTTAAAGTCAGTCTTTGGCTGAGTCACAGGGTGGTCTTTTGTCTTCCAAAGCTTCTGCTTCTGTGTGACAGTGGCTTGCAAAGACTGAATGGCTGACAGGCTGGGCGTGGACTGACAGTTGGTCTCACAGAAGCTATAATAAAATTCCATGTATGCTTCTGTTGGACAGACTCAGTCATCAACTTAGAAATTCACTTTTTAGCCGGGCTCGGTGGCTCAAGCCTGTAATCCCAGCACTTTGGGAGGCTGAGGCGGGTGGATCACGAGGTCAAGAGATCGAAACCATCCTGGTCAACATGGTGAAACCCCGTCTCTACTAAAAATACAAAAAAATTAGCTGGGCATGGTGGCGTGTGTCTGTAATCCCAGCTACTCAGGAGGCTGAGACAGGAGAATTGCCTGAACCCAGGAGGCAGAGGTTGCGGTGAGCCGAGATCGCGCCATTGCACTCCAGCCTGGGTAACAAGAGTGAAACTTCGTCTCAAAAAAAAAAAAAAAAGAAATTCACTTTTTAAAAAAGCATCACAAACAGCAGCAGTTTTCCTATTTTAAATGAGATAATTTTGAGAAAACTAAGCGGGAGGTAGTCCATGAGAGATTCTTCACCACTAATGAGACAAGGAAGCTTAAAATACTGGCTCATCAGGCATCAGTGACAGCACCTGTTCTTTGGATATGACATTTGATAATAAGGAGTGGAGCAGGTGCTGGAGGATTAGTATACAACAAATACGTCTTCTTTAAGAACTTTAAAGATGGGAAGTTCTAAAAAATAAAATAAAATAAAATAAAAAATAAAAAAAATAAATAAATAAAAATAAAAAAAAGATGGGAAGTTCTTCTCTGCCTAGAGAATAATCTGAAATCAGAAGAAATGGATTTCTGAGAGAGGTTTCTCCTAGCTCTGTTCTTTTCTGGAGAAAATCACCTGTTGGATCTAAGAGTAAGAGGAGCAACTATGCTGGGGAACACCCTGACTCTGGGGCAAATCTAAGCACGAAAAGTAGGCACATCCTGTGGCTCATAATCACCTCATCAGACATAGAGAGTGCCCTCTACTGAAAACACTCAAGCAGACAGTAGTCATCCAGGGTATTTCAAAGGAGGTTCCTTTATCCCGGGAAGCTGAGCCAGATTACATCTCTTCCAACTGTAAGATTGTCTTCCCTCACCCAGAAGAAATAGGATGAAGTACAACTCTCAACCATCTCTAAGAGAGATTTTCTCTTCCAAGCACCATACATTCATTCAACAAAACATTTATTCAGTGAGCACCTATGTGTCAAGCACTGTGCCAAGTTAGAGCATAACTGTACAACACAAAATAAAATCTCCAAAGGAAATGGATTTAAACTTTAACAAAAGGAATTTGGGTCAGGCATCAGAGGAAACTTACTGACCGTGAGGGGCGTTAGACACAGGCATGGGAGACTGAGGGAGCTTGTGCAATCTCCTCCGCTGGAGGTCTATAAAGATAGTCTAGGGCTGGAACAATCCCACCTAGAGGCAGGGGGAAGGACCGAATGACCTCACAACATCTCTGGGTCTGCTTCGTCATCCACAAGGCAATTCCCCTGAGGTCAGCGGCAACTCCCTCTTTCCCCCACCCACCAGAGACACTTACCACTGAGCTCTTCTCAAGTAGGCTTTTATGTAAGTGTCATCAAGCTTCACTGCATTTGTGCAGTCTTCTATTGCATCATCTAGTTTCCTAAGCTTCAGGAGAGAGAGAGCAATCATACTTCACTTCCTGGTGACTGAGGGAGCCCAGAAGCTGTGAGCATGGCTTCAAAACTCTAAGAGGATCAGTCATGCTGGCCCCCTAAATGTCATATTAAGTTCTAGTTCTTTGTCACTAGGACTATGGACCCCAACAAAAAGGGGTCCACAAAAGCACTCAGGCCATTTTCAGTCATGCATGGTAACCATCAGTTACCCTGGAGAAAAACAAGCTTGCCTCTACCCTTCCTCCAAATCACTCCTAAAAAATAAATGATCACTTGCATAAGAAAAAAAAAAAAAAAAGCAACAGGAGCTGCTTAAAATTATCCCACAGCCTCTAGCCATTCTCTTACTGGAGGAAAGGGACCTTAAGGAACAGGTGAGAATATCCTTGCAAATTGCCCAACTGCCCCCAAATTCCACAGAGATGATAAAAGCTTGCCTCTTGGAAGGGAGTTCCTAACAAGCTGTTAACCATAATAACTTATCCTCTTTCATCTTGCTTACCCTCATTGGGCAGATTTCCCAAGACCCTTTGATATCCCTTAAAAATATCTCTTTATAGGCCCCAAGATCCAGATCAAGTGCTTACCTTGGAATTAACCGTACCCCGATTACAGTAGAGTTTAGCATTTGTTTTTATATTGTTGGGGTCTATCCCCAGGGCTTCTGTGTACAGTTCGTATGCTAGTTTGTAATTTCCTTCCTTAAATGCTTTATTTCCATCTTCTTTCTTTGCTTTAAGTGCTTTGGCATTCTACAGAAAAATGCAAGGGAAGGATCAGCGCATATCCACAAAGCCTCAGACCACGGCACAGAGAGGCCAGAATCTATTTTAAAGTTCGCTGCTTCCAGTAGTTTAGCATCACAGGGCCCGGCCAACCCCCAACCTGGGCTATCTGTTGCTCATTTGTGCTTCCTACAGAGTGGACAGGAGAAACCAAGAGTTACAAAAAATATCAATGAGACCTATGTTACTGGGTCTGCTTCTACTTCCCAGGGCAAGTATTACTATCTATCTACACTGAGGGGGAAAAAAGGAAAAAAAAAAAAAGAAACCTCAGATATTAAAGGCATCCGACCCTATATGATCACATTTACCTTTAGGTAAGTAAAAGCAGCCCGGAAACCATTTCTAATGAAGACCAAGCATTCTTGCAAAGAAGGAGGAAAAGCTATCACATTCCCTGTGATTCTAAAACCTTCCACTGTAACCATCTTAAAGGTCTCAAAGGGAAGCTTTCTTTCCCAGTCAGGTCTGGTGACTAGAACTTACTCTGCAGGCAATGCAGGCCTTCTCATGGTCAGGGGCCATCCTGAGAGCCTGTACAAAAAACTGAACTGCCTTCTCAATACAATCTTCGTAATAAAGGCAAAGACCTCGTACATACAGAGCATCTGCATTGGTGGAATCCATTCGTAGAATGTCACTGCAATAGTAAGAAAAGGGCACAATGAGCTGTGCTTTAGAATGTCTCCACCATTACTATCTACTGTGGCCAGTTTTTTTTTTTCCTTGACTATGTGTCTAGTGTTCAAAGTATCCAAAGGTAGACAGATTCCCAAGAACTGTTCCCAAACCTTCCCCAAATAAAACAACTATAATTATCTTTAATACACATCTGTGTCTTACAATCCTTCTTAGACTGAACAGGGTTTGGCAAACTATAGCCCACAGGGCCAAACCCTTTCTGCCACTGGTTTTTGTAAATAAAACTCTTTTGAAACAGCCACACCGATTGCTTCATCTATTACCTAGGGCAGGCAGCCTCTGCATGGCAATGGCAGAGCTAAGTTATTTGCAAAAGAGACCCTGTGTCCTGCAAAGGTTAAAATCTGGCCCTTTGCAGAAAGTTTGCCAATCAGTGGAGTAGAAGGAAAAGGACCACCTTAAACAAACAAAACCACAAAAAAACTCACATAACACAATCTGTTATGTGAGTTTCATATATAGCTGTTCTTTCATATATAGCTCAAGTACCTGTTATACTACTATACTCCTGTATATATGCTCTGTGGGTTTTCAAAGCTGGCCTAATCTTTGACTTTAAGTCCCAAGGCCTGATCAGCCCTAGCTGGCCTACTCTGGGGACGATATCCTATGATGAAGCTGCCTGACAGCATCAGTCCAAAGGTATCTGGCATTTTATTTACTTATTTATTTTTCCTGAGACAGAGTTTTGCTCTTGTTGCCCAGGCTAGAGTGCAATGGCATGACCTTGGCTCACTGGAATCTCCACCTCCTGGGTTCAAGCAATTCTCCTGCCTCAGCCTCTCAAGTAGCTGGGATTACAGGCATGCGCCACTATGCCTGGCTAAGTTTGTATTTTTAGTAGAGACAGGGTTTCTCCACGTTGATCAGGCTTGTCTCAAACTCCTGATCTCAGGTGATCCACCTGCCTCGGCCTCCCAAAGTGCTTGGATTACAGGCATGAGCCACTGTGCCTAGCCGGTATCTGGCTTTCTAATGCCCAACTGGTCTGACTGCATACCTAGCCACAGACTGTGCTTCTGGATAACGACCCAGCATTGCTAAACATTCTGCCTTGAGGATTTTGAAGCGATGGCAGGCAGGGGCAAATTCTAGGGCACGGTCCATGCAGAAAACAACCTGCGGGGAAGAAGAAAACAATAAAGCTCTTCATCGTGGGCTCCAGAAACATATTCACTTTAGTTTAGTCACAGGTAACAGACTCAAGAGCTCAAAGAAGTCTCTGGGTCCACTGTTAAGTACTATCAAAGTTTAAACACATAACCAATTCATGAGATAAAAGCACTGAAATGAGGAGAACAATGATTCCAGACAATAATGAAAACAGTGAACATTTACTGAATACTTCATATATGAACCCATTTAATCCTCACAACCATTTTACGAAATGGGCAATATTATCACTTTTATTTTACTGATGAGAAAACTAAGGAACTAGGGTTCCACATTGTCAAAGCTAGTGATAGAAACAGGATTTGATCTTAGACACTAAGATTCCAGAACTGGCCGGGCGCAGTGGCTAAAGCCTGTAATCCCAGCACTTTGGGAAGCCGAGGCGGGTGGATCACAAGGTCAAGAGATTGAGACCATCCTGGTCAACATGGTGAAACCCCGTCTCTACTAAAAATACAAAAAATAAGCTGGGCATGGTGGCGCGTGCCTGTAATCCCAGCTACTCAGGAGGCTGAGGCAGGAGAACTGCCTGAACCCAGGAGGCGGAGGTTGCGGTGAGCAAAGATCGCGTCATTGCACTCCAGCCTGGGTAACAAGAGCGAAACTCCGTCTTAAAAAAAAAAAAGATTCCAGAGCCTATAACCTCATAACCATGCTAAACTGCCTCCACAGTGAATCATATCCATAGTGACTGTCATCAAAACTCACATTCTTCTCAGGAACACTGTTATTTGCTACTTTGCACAATTCGTCACACTTAGCCTGTTAAGCAAGACAAGAAATGGCAAAAATAACAACCTGCTGCAGAATCATTGCTCACTATGTAAGCCTCACATCACACTGAATACTGTGGTGGCCCCCCTTCCACCTATTGTTTTTAGTAGGGAAATATACCAATAAAAGATTTCATTTTAAATGGCTTTAAATAGGCTACATCAGATTACTATTTCCATCATGCCACTATACAAACCATAAGCCAAGGCGCTCTCACACACACAACCAGGTGGGGATTAACCTGTTCTTTCAGCCTCATAAAGCATCTCCATATATTCTGTTTTTCTCTTTTTACTAGTTTGTCCTTTGAGCTTTCATTTTTGGTTTAGCTACTGTTTATCCCTGGAAGAGTCTTGCTGAATCACATTCACTCCAAGAATACATGAACCAAAGGAGAAATCTGGAGTTAAGGGACACCCATTCTGTCTAGGTATCTGGCCATGGGGATCAGGAAGAGATAAAGTCTGAAAACTTACTAGTAGAAAAATTCAAATTCCATCAACAGGAGACTGGTTAGATAATGTAGACATCCATGTAATGGAATACTATATAATTCCAAAATAGAATGAAGAAGCTCTTCATGTACTAATATGGAAAGACATCCAAGATCTACTCAGTTATTTTTTTAGGTGGAGTCTCGCTCTGTTGCCAGCCTGGAGTACAATGGTGCGATCCTGGTTCACTGCAACTTGTACCTCCCGGGTTTGAGCGATTCTCATGCCTCAGACTCCTGAGTAGCTGGGACTACAGGTGCACGCCACCATGCCCAGCTAATTTTTGTATTTTCAGTAGAGATGAGGTTTCACCATGTTGGCCAGGAGGGTCTCAATCTCTTGACCTCGTGATCCACCTGCCTTGGCCTCCCAAAGTGCTGGGATTACAGGTGTGAGCCACCGCACCTGGCCTATTCAGTTATTATTATTTTTTTTTAAAGGTGCAGAACTGCATAAAGCATACTACTTTTCATGGTAAATAAAGGAAGAAAATCAAGGATCTTTATTTTATATATGTACAACAAAACTAAAGAAGAAAATATAAGACATAAGAACAGTTGTTAGCTTAGGGGAGTGAGCTGGGCAGAGAGAGGACAAGTTTGAGGGCACACTCATCACTGAGTATTTTTCATACTTTTTAGCTTTTGTTTGTTTTTGTTTTTGAGATGAAGTCTTGCTCTGCTGCCCAGGCTGGAGTACAGTGGCGCAATCATGGCCCGCTGCAGCCTTGACTTCCCAGGCTCCCAGTGATTCTCTTGTCTCAGACTCACGAGTAGTTGGGACTGCAGGCACACGTCACCATACTCAGCTAACTTTTAAAATTATCTGTAGAGACAGGGTCTTGTTATGTTGCCCAGGCTGGTCTTCAACTCCTGGCCTCAAGCAATCCTCCTGCCTTGGCCTCCCAAAGTGCTGGGATTAAGCATGAGCCACTGCACCTGGCCATACTTTCTAGTTTTTGAACCATGAATAGCACCTATTCCAAAACTGAAATTTAAAATATGAGGAAGTTGTTAAACACTACCAGCTGTTCCACTGAGAAGACTTTCTGCAGTGTGACATAGCAGGGATGGGAATGCCTCTCCTTCAGTGGCACAGGTTACTGTCCTGAAAGTTCTTTTTTTTTTTTTTTTTTGAGACAAAGTTTCTGCTCTTGTTGCCCAAGCTGGAGTGCAATGGTGTGATCTGAGCTCACCACAACCTCCACCTCCCAGGTTAAAGCAATTCTCCTGCCTCAGCCTTCCAAGTAGCTGGGATTACAGGCATGCGCCACCACACCCAGCTAACTTTGTATTTTTAGTAGAGATGGCTTTTCTCCATGTTGGTCAGGCTGGTCTTGAAACTCCCAACCTCAGGTGATCTGCCCACCTCGGCTTCACAAAGTGCTGGGAATACAGGCATGAGCCACTGCACCTGGCCTCTTTTGTTTTTCAATGTAGTTTCGCTCTTGTTGCCCAGGCTGGAGTGCAATGGTGTGAACTCAGCTCATCAAAACCTCCACCTCTCGGGTTCAAGCGATTCTCCTGCCTCCACCTCCCGAGAAGCTGGGATTACAGGCATGTGCCACCATGCCGGGCTAATTTTTTGCATTTTTGGTAGAGGGGGGGTTTCTCCATGTTGGTCAGACTGGTCTCAAACTCCTGACCTCAGGTGATCCTCCCACCTTGGCCTCCCAAAGTGCTGGAATCACAGGCGTGAGCCCCCGTACGTGGCATGTCCTGAAAGTTCTAAGGACAATTTGTAAACTTAAGCATCATGTAGGTATAATTGTGTGCTAACTGTCCTACCCTCCTCAGATGGAAAAGTAATGAGGAGGGCAGGAAGAAGTCAGTCAAATTGTCAGTAGCCACACCCTTTTGCCTTCACAAGGACCCTGTTTTATGCAGAGCTGGTTCTGCTAATCGTGGGGATCATCAGTGCTTCACTTCCCACCCCCCATCTCCCCATGACTAGGGACAGCTGCAGGCAAAGAAGATCTTTTGTTTCTTCCAAGTTCATCTGTTTCCCCTGCCAGGATCATAATTCTTCATTTGTGACATCACCATGAGCTACAGTGGGGGGGCTGGGATGTCACAAACAGAGGATTCTGTCACAAACTCAGGATCTGGCTCCAGAGTAGGCAAGAGAGAAAAGAAACCCAAAAGACTGCCTCTCAAGACAAAGCTTTTGCCTATGTAAACCTCAGAAAACGTGACAGTAGGCAGAATTGCTTTCCAAACACACACAGGCCAAACAAAACAAACTTATGAATTGCACTACAAAGACACTGTGGTTATTAAAACCAACGGACAGAAGAGGGATGCTAATAAGTTACTGTGAGGACTCCGCATAAGCTAATCAGATATATACATTACCAAATCAAAGACCACCAGTGTGACAGTTAAGCGTGATTGTTAACGTACCCACTTATCAAATATTCACTGAGCACATGCTACAGGCATTGAGCAAATTCCAACAAATGAAGTGACAACTTTGTTCCTTGGACGGTAGTGATCACAAACTTAAGTGATCCAGAAGATCTCTCCTGATCAGAGGTTTTTAACCTTTTGGGGGTTATCTATCTCCCCTTTTGAAACTTGAGTGGAAACTATTTCTTTTTTTTTTTTTTTTTTTTGAGACAGAGTTTCGCTCGTTACCCAGGCTGGAGTGCAATGGTGCAATCTCAGCTCACTGCAACCTCCGCCTCCTGGGTTCAAGCAATTCTCCTGCCTCAGCCTCCCAAGTAGCTGGGACTACAGGCATGCACCACCATGCACAGCTAGTTTTTTGTATTTTTAGTAGAGACAGGGTTTCACCATGTTGACCAGAATGGTCTCGATCTCTTGACCTCGTGATCCACCCGCCTCGGCCTCCCAAGAGTGGAAACTATTTCTAAGCGCCATCTAAAGAAGAAAGGAGTTACACAGATAAGGCAGAACAACCATGAAGTCTAGAAAGATATCCAGAACTTTTATACCTTTCCCACATTTCAGATGTGAACCCCTTTGACACGTAAATTTTCAAGAACTACCACACAGTCTAACATCTTAGAACAGTCTAATGTTAAAAAGGAGGTGATGACAGGTTAAGCGCACTATTCAAAAATGTAAAAAGAACCTTTCTCTTTCTTTTTTTGAGACAGAGTTTCGCTCTTGTTACCCAGGCTGGAGTGCAATGGCACGATCTCGGCTCACCGCAACCTCCGCCTCCTGGGTTCAGGCAATTCTCCTGCCTCAGCCTCCTGAGTAGCTGGGATTACAGGCACGCGCCACCATGCCCAGCTAATTTTTTGTATTTTTTTTAGTAGAGATGGGGTTTCACCATGTTGACCAGGATGGTCTCGATCTCTTGATCTTGTGATCCGCCCACCTTGGCCTCCCAGAGTGCTGGGATTACAGGCTTGAGCCACCGCGCCCGGACATTCATTTTTGTTTTTTTAAGAGACAAGGATTCATTATGTTGCGCAGGCAGGAATGGATAGGTTTTTCATAGGTGCAATCCTGCTACTGATCAGTATGGGAGTTCTGACTTGCTTTGCTTCTGATCTGGGGTAGCTCACCCCTCTTTAAGCAACCTGGTGGTTCCCTACTCCCAGGAGGTCACCATATTTATGCCAAACTTAAGTGTGGATACCCAATCAGCATAGTGCACTACAGCCCACAACTCCTGGACTCAAGCAATCCTATTGCCTCAGCCTCCCAAGTTGCTGGGTTATAGGCATGGCACTGTCCAGCTCCCATTATTCAAATAAAAATGGATTATCAAGGGCCAGGCACAGTGGCTCACACCTGTAATCCCAGCACTTTGGGAGGCCGAGGCCAGCAGATCACTTGAGGTCAGGAGTTTGAGACCAACCTGGCCAACATAGTGAAACCCCGTCTCCACTAAAAAACAAACAAACAAAATCACAAAAATTAGCCGGGCATCATGGCATGCGTCTGTAATCCCAGGGTGGCTGAGGTAGGAGAAATCGCTTGAACCTGGGAGGTGGAAATCGCAGTTAGGCACTGTGGTCCAGCCTGGGCCACAGAGCAAGACTAGGCCTCAAAAAAAAAAAAATTTAATTCCAGCTGGCTTTTCCTTTATTAAGCAGTACACTATTAAGCCACTGCTTTACATCAACAACAGAAACAAACTCAAGTGACACACTCATTTTACTTTTTATCATAGGGCCAAACATAAGAAAATAAGTATTTTAGCAAAAAAAAAAAAAAATTATTATTATTATTTTTTAAAACGGGGTTTTACCATGTTGGCCAGGATGGTCTCGATCTTCTGACCTTGTGATCTGCCTGCCTCAGCCTCCCAAAGAGCTGGGATTACAGGCGTGAGCGCAAAAAACTTAAACTTTTCTTTTTTTTTGAGACGGAGTCTCGCTCTGTCGCCAGGCTGGAGTGCAGTGGTGCAATCTCAGCTCACTGTAACCTCTGCCTTCTGGGTTCAAGCAATTCTCCTGCCTTAGCCTCCCGAGTAGCTGGGATTACAGGCATGTACCACCACATCCAGATAATTTTTATATTTTTAGTAGAGACGAGGTTTCACCACGTTGGCCAGGATGGTCTCGATTTCCTGACCTTGTAATCCATCTGCCTTGGCCTCCCAAAATGCTGGGATTACAGGCATGAGCCACTGTGCCTGGCCAGCAAAATACATTTTAAAGAGGAAAAGTCAGAAGCCTAAGTGATAATTCATTATTCTAGATCTTTTGTGCCATACTACTCTTCTTAATTATCACACAAACACACAAATGAGAATTTTGTGACAAAGGGCAGATGAGATTATTTCACGGTTGTACTGTACCTTCCGAAAATCTCGCTTCTCGAAATCTGTTTCTGCTATTTTCTCATATTCCATGACTGCATTAGCATTCTTGAACTACACCAGAAAATCAGAAATAGGAAAGTTTTAATGAAGCTGCAGATTAAACAACCACAAAAAATTAACAAGGCCTTGATGAATTTGAATTGAGTAAATATACCATACTGCCTCTTTTGAGAGAGACAGGGTTGGACTTGTACCTTCTGTTGTGACTGGGCATTTTTATGATCCAGTTCTAGAGACCTCTGGCAACCATGACAGGCTGCCATGGCACTCCCTAGAGAGAGGTAGCACTTGCCCTCTCACAGATGTCCCTAGAAGATTTTCTTTCAAGAAAATCAGAACCACAGACATTTCACAAATCAAGTTGATGAAGATACAGGCAAGACTCCTTAACAGAAAGGCTAGACCCAAACTTCACCCTCAGTTTGAATTTCAAGTAGGAACACAAGTATCATGCTTGATATACACGAAATAAAGGCAATGCATTGCCAGGGATTGAGCATATGTTTTGAGATTCTCACTGAAATGCATCTAGGGTAAACTGTATATACAGTCATATACTCTGGTCAACAATGAACTGTATATATGGCAGTACTCCTGTAAGATTATAATACCTTATTTTTACTGTACCTTTTCTGTTTAGATACACAAACACTTACCACTGTGTTATAGCTGCCTATAATATTCAGGACTGTATATACAGGTGTGTAGTCCAGTAGCTACTGCAATATAGCCTAGGTGTCCAACAGGCTATGCCACCTAGGTTTGTTTAAGTATACTTTATGATGTCTGCACAATGACAAAATCACCTAACAAAATGTATGCTGTCATTAAACGACACATACTATATACAGAGATGGAACTAAAACATGTTTTAGCTGCTACCAATTTAATCAGGGCTTGAATTTATTCAGATTCCTTTTTTCTTTGAGACAGGTTCTTGCTCTGTTGCCCAGGCTACAGTGTAGTGGTGCAATCATGGCTCACTGCAGCCTCGACCCCAGCACAAGCAACCCTCCCACCTGAGCCTCCTGAGTAGCTGGGATTACAGGTGCATGGCAACAGGTCTGGCTAATTAAAAATTTTTTTTTGTGAAGACAGAGTCTCACTATGTTTCCCAGGCTCTAAAATTCTTTAACCTCATTCAAATTGGTCCCTGGAAGCAGTTGCTTATTCCTCAGCCTTCAAAAATGCTTCCATTTTCACAGATTTTTAAAAGCGGTCTTTAAGCAGTAAACTTAAATGAAAAAGAAAAAAAAAAAAAAAAGCTGTCAATCCTATTCAAAACTCATTTTACAGATTAGGAAGCTGAGGCTTAAAGAGACTATGAAATTCGCCTAAAGTCACCCAGGTGTGCTGACAGCAGAAGTGAGACTAGACCTCAGTACTGACTTTCAAGTAGCCACTCCTCCCACATATACCACACTGCTTCTTTTGATAGAAACAGGATCAGACCCGTACCTCTTGCTGGGCCTGAGCATTTTTATGATCCAGTTCCAGGGCTCTCTGGAAACTGCGACATGCTGCCATGGCATTCCCTAGAGAGAGGTGGCACTTGCCCTCTCGTAGATGTCCCTAGAAGAACACAAAGAGGGAAGAAGAAAAGGAGCATGATTGGCCAAGCGGAAAGAAACCAACAGCAGCAACAAACACCCACAGAAAACCAACACAGAGGTTGGGCGCAGTGGCTCCTGTAATCCTAGCACTTTGGGAGGCTGAGGCGCGTGAATCATTTAAATTAGGAGTTTGAGGTTAGCCTGGCCAACATGGTGAACCTCCATCTCTACTAAAAATACAAAAATTAGCCAGGCGTGGTGACATATGCCTGTAGTCTCAACTACTAAGGAGGCCGAGGCAGGAGAATTGCTTGTACTTGGGAGGCAGAGGTTACAGTGAGCTGAGATCACGCCACTGCACTCCAACCTGGGCGACACAGCAAGACACCATCTCAAACAAACAAACAAACCAACAAACAAACAAACACAGAATGAAAATGACTAGAGCAGTAGTTCTCAACCTGGGCAATTTGCCCTCCGGGGACATTTAGCAATGTTAGGAGACATTTTTGGTTGTTACAACTGGACAGAGAGGGTGCTACTCATACTTCGTGATTAAAAGCCAGAGATGCCGCTCAACAATCTGTAATGCACAGTAAAGTCCCGCACAAAGAATAATCTGGTCCCAAATGTCAGTATTGTCAAGTTTGAGAAACATTGGGCTAGAGAAACTCAACTGCAGCAACCCAGCCTTCCCCAAACAGTCCCATTACATACATACCCGGACAAAACTGTCATCCAACCTCACTGACTGTTGCGCATCTCCAAGAGCTTCCCGGAACCTTCCAAGCATCATCAAGGTGGCTGCTCGATTGCCATAATAGCTAGCATTTTTAGGACACATATCTAGAGGAAAAGCAGAAGAATATAAAACAAAGTTTAGAACAGGTCCCTGGCTTTGAAAACTTAGAGGGGGCTGGGCGCAGTGGTTCATGCCTATAATCCCAGCACTTTGGAAGGCTGAGATGGGCGGATCACTTTAGGTTAGGAGTTTGAGACCAGCCTGGCCAACATGGTGAAACCCCGTCTCTACTAAAATAAATAAAAAAATTAGCTGGGTGTGCTGGTGGGCACCTATAATTCCAGCTACTTGGGAGGCTGAAGCATGAGAATTGCTTGAATCTGGGAGGTGTAGGTTGCAGTGACCCAAGAGTGTATCACTGCACTCCAGCCTGAGTGACACAGGAAGACTGTTTCAAAAGAAAAAAAAAAAAAAGAGGGCATCTCCCTCCAAACAACGTTAAGGGAATCAATCTGTAATGCTGACAAACTATTTTTTCTCTTGGAGATGGTTTTGTGTGTGTGTGTGTGTGTGTGTGTGTGTGTGTGTGTGTGTGACAGGGTCTCACTGTCGCACAGGCTGGAGGGCAGTGAGGTTACCGTGGTGCGGTCTTGGCTCATTGTAACCTCTGCCTCCTGGGTTCAAGTGATTCTCCTGCCTTAGCCTCCCGAGTAGCCAAGTAGCTGGGATTACAGGCATGCGCCACCACACTTGGCTAATTTTTCTATTTTTATTTATTTTTGAGGCAGAGTCTGGCTCTGTTGCCCAGGCTGGAGTGCAGTGGCATGATCTCTGCTCACTGTATCCTCCGCCTCCGGGGCTCAAGCCATCTTCCTATCTCAGCCTCCAAAGTAGCTGGGACCACAGGCACATGCCGCCATGACCGGTAATTTTTGTACTTTTTGTTGAGATGAAGTTTTGCCATGTTGGCCAGGCTGATCTTGAACTCCTGGCCTCAAGTGATCTATCTGCCTCAGCCTCCGAAAGTGTTGGGATTACAGGCATGAGCCACTGCACCCCACCCTGACATGCTCTCTTTGGAAGGCCACAGACAGCCAGGTGCAGCAGCTCACACCTGTAATCCCACTACTTTAGAAGGCTGAGGTGGGCAGATCACAAGGTGAGGAGATTGAGACCATCCTGGCTAACACAGTGAAACCCTGTCTCTACTAAAAATAAAAAAAATTAGCCGGAAGAGGTGGCACACAACTGTAATCCCAGCTACTCAGGAGGCTGAGGCAGGAAAATTGCTTGAATCTGGAAGGTGGAGGTTGGCAGTGAGCTGAGATCTCCAGCCTGGGAGACAGAACAAGACTCCATCTCAAAAAAAAAAAAAAAAAAAAAAAGGGGGGGGGGCCAGGGGGGACCACAGCCAGCACAGTGGCTCACACCTGCAATCTTAAGACTTTGGGAGACCAAGGCTGAGATGGGCAGATCACTTGAGGCCAGGAGTTTGAGACCAGCCTGGCCAACATGGCAAAACTCTCTACCAAAATACAAAACAATTAGCAAAGCATGGTGGCACACACCTGTAATCCCAGTTACTCAGGTGGCTAAGGCATGAGAATCACTTGAAACTGGGCCAAGATTGTGCCACTACACTCCAGCCTTGGTGACAGTGACACTGTCTCAAAAATAAATAAATAAAAGGCTATAGCCAAATTTCTGACTGCCTGTGCAAATGGACAGAAGCAATGATACAATCAGTTTTAAAACAAAGTAAGGGCCGGGCACGGTGGCTCAAGCCTGTAATCCCAGCACTTTGGGAGGCCGAGGCGGGTGGATCACGAGGTCAAGAGATCGAGACCATCCTGGTCAACATGGTGAAACCCCGTCTCTACTAAAAATGCTAAAAAAAAAATTAGCTGGGCATGGTGGCGTGTGCCTGTAATCCCAGCTACTCAGGAGGCTGAGGCAGGAGAATTGCCTGAACCCAGGAGGCGGAGGTTGCGGTGAGCCGAGATGGCGCCATTGCACTCCAGCCCTGGGCAACAAGAGCGAAACTCCATCTCAAAAAAAAAAAAAAAGAAAAACAAAATAAGATACAGCTTTAAAGTGCAGTGATTATCTTTTGAGGGGCGGGGCAGCTTATTAATCTTAATGAACTATGTTTTGTATAATGAGATATTAAAATGAAATGTGTATGTTGAGTTGGGGTAAACAAATTAGGTGAGAAGAATGACATGGGATTAAAGTATGCTGGTAAATTAAGCATGGAGATAACTAAGACTTTTTTTATGTACAAAGGCCATATTCTAAGGTAGTAAATGAATTGGCAATGACTGAAATGGATTTAGGTAGGTATTGTTTTGACATAACATTCAGTATTTCTGGAATTGCCTGTAATTTGTCAAAAGAAAAATTACCCACCCCAGTTAGAAGAATTTATCACAGCTGGGCGTGGTGGCTCATGCCTGTAATTCCAGTACTTTGGGAGGCCAACGTAGGAGGATCACTTGAGCCCAGGAGTTTGAGACCAGCTAGGGCAACACAGTAAGACCCTCTCTCTATTTTTAAAAATTTTTTAAGTTTTTTTTTAAAAAAAAAGAAAAAGAAAAAGGTTTTTGTTTTTTTTTTTGAGACGGAGTTTCGCTCTTGTTACCCAGGCTGGAGTGCAATGGCGCGATCTCGGTTCGCCGCAACCTCCACCTCCTGGGTTCAGGCAATTCTCCTGCCTCAGCCTCCTGAGCGGCTAGGATTACAGGCACGTGCCACCATCCCCAGCTAATTTTTCTTATTTTTAGTAGAGATGGGGTTTCATCATGTTGACCAGGATGGTCTCGATCTCTTGACCTCGTGATCCACCCGCCTCAGCCTCCCAAAGTGCTGGGATTACAGGCTTGAGCCACCGCGCCTGGCAGAAAAAAGTTTTTACGTGAGGCAGGTGCATGCCGCCACAACTCCTTCAGGAGTTCACACAATAACAGTTATTAATCCACTAAGCAAAAAGCTACTTCTCAGAGAGAAGCCACTTTTAATTTTTAATTTAATTTAATTTTCGAAATGGAGTTTTTTGCTCTTGTTGCCCAGGCTGGAGTGCAATGGCATGATCTCAGCTCACTGCAACCTCCGCCTCCTGGGTTCAAGCGATTCTCCCGCCCCATCCTCCTTAGTAGCTAAGATTACAGGCACACAACACTAGGCCCAGCTAATTTCTGTATTTTGGGTAGAGATGAGGTTTTACTGTGTTAGCCAGGCTGGTCTTGAACGCCTGTCTTTGGGTGATCTGCCCACCATGGCCTCTCAAAAGTACTGGGATTATAAGTATGAGCTACTACTGTACCTGGCCTTTTTTTTTTCTTCTTTTTTTTTGAGACAGTCTTGCTTTATTGCCCCGGATGGAGTGCAATGGCATGATCTCAGCTCACTGCAACCTCCGCTTCCTGGGTTAAAGTGATTCTCCCTGACTCAGCCTCCTTAGTAGCTGGGTTACAGGTACCCACCACCACATGCAGCTAATTTTTGTAGAGACGGAGTTTCGCCATGTTGGCCAGGCTGGTCTCAAAATCCTGACCTCGGATGATCCACCCGCCTAGGCCTCCCAAGGTGTTGGGATTACAGGCATGAGACAACTTTTTTTTTTTTTTTTATCTTTTTGAGATGAAGTCTTGTTTTGTTGCCCAGGCTGGTTTCAAACTAATGACCTCAGGTGGTTCACCTGCCTCAGCCTCTCAAAGTGCTGGGATTACAGGCATGAGCCACCACAAATGGAAGCTTTTAATAATATTTGGCAAGTAAGTGTTTTCTAGCAAGAGTATCAGGACTTTCTCACCTATGGCTTTCGTATAATAATTATAAGCTTCATTGTAATCTTTCTTGGCATAGTATGCATTTCCTTGTTCCTTGAAAGTCTCTGCTTCCCTGAAAATGAAAGAGAATGAGAATGTTACTGCACATAGGGAATAACCTCTGCAATCTTACAGAGTCATCTTTGGTCTAGAGCCCTCAGCACATTGCGCTGAAAATAGTGTGATACTTGAAGGAATTTATAGATTTGTTCAATAGACCAATGGACCAAAAGGAGGTGATAATGAAAGAATCTAAGTTCTTCAGATCCTCTTTTGTCACTTAGCTATTCAAACTAAATCAAGAAAGTCCCTCTCATGTTCCTGCCTCATCTCGCTATTTCTGCCTATAGTCCTCCTCCCGCAGGACAGATGAATTTAGACATTCCCTCATGGAAAGGAATTTTTCTGTTTCCTTCCACCATGTCACAACCGCGGCCTCTTTTGCAAACTTAGAGGAAAAATGGTCATTCCATTCAAGGGCAACTGATTTCTCAATGTGAAATGGGTCACATCCTCAACAGTTTTAATTATTTCATCTCTTGGAACGTGCCTCATGCATTTGTCACTGAAGGACAAGCAGAGCAAAGGTAGGTGGCAAGAGTTAAAAGCATAGCATGTTGGTGTTTAAGATAGGAACAGAGCTCAGTGACAGCAGAGACTAAGACCATGGATGACAGGGACATATGAGGTACAGGCTGCCAGTGCCATACTATAAGGTGCACCCATCCAACAGTGTTCCCTCTGCCCATCACATCTATGTGGGTACTTGCTGCCCCCTTTGCACTCCCTCCAGTACCTTATATATTCAGCAACTGGGTTATAGAATTTTTTTCCCTACCTCTAAGATCTATTTTTTGAAACTGTGCCATTAGACAAAGTGTGCTTTCCTAAAGGAACAATGTTATATAATTGGGAATTATATTCCTGAGCAAATACCTAGAAGAAAATCAGACATGACCGACAATGTTTTAAAAGAACTAGTAACCTCTATTGAGATACTCAAAATCATTCCACTCCTCAACTTAAATGAAGGTAATTCTTTACTGAAATGATTACTGCAACATAACTAAATATCTGATCATTTTTGTTACAAGGAAGCATCTTTCTTTTCCTGTTGTTCACATGCAAAAAAAGAACCTAGTTCGGGGTTCCCTGAAGTGGGGACAAAAGTCATAGTTTTTTTTTTTTTTTTTTTTTTGAGACGGAGTTTCACTCTTGTTACCCAGGCTGGAGTGCAATGGCGTGATCTCGGCTCACCGCAACCTCCGCCTCCTGGGTTCAAGCAATTCTCCTGCCTCAGCCTCCTGAGTAGCTGGGATTACAGGCACGTGCCACCATGCCTAGCTAATTTTTTGTATTTTTAGTAGAGACGGGGTTTCACCATGTTGACCAGGATGGTCTCGATCTCTCGACCTCGTGATCCACCCGCCTCGGCCTCCCAAAGTGCTGGGATTACAGGCTTGAGCCACCGCACCCGGCCAAAAGTCATAGTTCTTATATGGTAGTGACAGTATAGCAATTTACAGTTTGAGTCTATGGATATCTGCATTAGAGAGATTTGTGATTTACTTACGTATTTTAAACTACAAACTGGAAAAGCTGCCCTCCTTTTATTGAGGCGATCCTCTCCATCACTGTCCTGGCAAGCCCTACTAATATGAAAAGGCTGCTGGAAGAAAGGAGAAGGAAAATGGGAATGACCTCTAAATGCTGACAGATCTGAAATGTGATGGATATAAATCTGCTTGAGTAAATGTCTATAACAACTGTCACAATGCTGTCAAGAGGCCATCTGCTATTAAAAATCTCCAGGGGGCCGGGCGCAGTGGCTCAAGCCTGTAATCCCAGCACTTTGGGAGGCCGAGGTGGGTGGATCACGAGGTCGAGAGATCGAGACCATCCTGGTCAACATAGTGAAACCCTGTCTCTACTAAAAATACAAAAAATTAGCTGGGCATGGCGGCGCGTGCCTGTAATCCCAGCTACTCAGGAGGCTGAGGCAGGAGAATTGCCGAACCCAGGAGGTGGAGGTTGCGGTGAGTCGAGATCACGCCATTGCACTCCAGCCTTGGTAACAAGAGTGAAACTCCATCTCAAAAAAAAAAAGTCTCCAGGAAAGAAGATCCTCCAATCACAAGATGTAAAGGACCAACTGAAATCCAGCTACACGGTATACACTATCCTGTAACTCTAAATTAAGCAAGGTGCTTATAAAATCTCTGAGGAGCCTATCCTTTAAGAGCAGACAGGCCAAGGGATTTGAACAAATGGCTTCCCCAATAATGAATTTCTATTAGTCAAACTGCTGTGAAGAAATGGAGTAGCAAATTCCAAAGTAAGATATTAGGCCCAAACTCTATCAGAGAAGATCTAGCCTGTTCTTCAGTGGGCTAGTGGCTAAGAATACACAAATCTTTGAGGAAAACCAAAGACATAGAGGTACGTGGGGAGACACTGTGTCAGCAGTATAAAGCTTGTTAGTCGAAAGTGAAACAACGCCCAGGGCTGCTGAAAGGTGTCCCCAGCCCCCTCCTTCCTGAAACATTACCCTTATGGAGATCGGGAGTTCAGAACTGACTTCTAGAAAAAATGCAAAGGATGGTTTTGGTGGAAGATTACTCATAATTACTGAGGCCAGGGATTTTCCATACATTATCCTCTAAACACAGTCCAGTGAACTTCATTATTCCCATTTTTCAAAGGAGGAAATAAGGCCTAGAGGTTAGATAACTTGCCTGAGGTCAGGATATTACCCGCATTTGTCAGAATACAAAGCTCGTGCACTTTCTAGCATGCCAAGCTTTCTCTCTAATGCTTGCCTCACTTACTGCTAACTATTCTTTCTCTCTAATGCTTGCCTCACTTACTGCTAACTATTTTGAAAATTAATCTGTACTACAAGGAATAAGACATGGACAAAATATGTGGATAACACATATAAATTTCTTTAAACTAAGACACATAGTAGCCCCTGCATATAATATTGAATCCCAAAACAGAAATAGGTATTTAAATAAGCGAAATGACATTCCTAACAATTAGTCATAGAGGAAGCAGGGCTCCTTTCTCTTTAAGATGCAAGACCTAGTGAAATGGACTTTGCCTCCCCAAAGAAATGCATTTCATTTTAGTAAATGGTGAGTAGATTCCATTCTAGAGCAAACAAAGCAAGTAATGTAGAGTCAGCCCACAGCAAAAAGAACAAGAAGAATTGTGTTGTGACAAGTTACCATGTTTTTAACCTCACACTGCACAGCATCAGGCCAGAATTAGCTATTCCCACACAATTGCCTCATGAAAAGGACTTATTTTCATAGAAACGTGGCTGATTAACAGCTGCCTAAACAATGGGGACTTGGTGCTTTTAGACTGAACGCTTATTTTTTGCCTCCAGGTCCAATGCCCAAAGTGGACTGGAGTCCCTCCTTCATTTTGAACCTCCCCACCAAATATACAACAAGCTTTAATCAATGGGCCTGACCCTGCGAGACCAGTCGAGGAAAGAGTGGATGTTTGGAATCCAGCATGGCAGCAGCAAGAACTGAAAAAGGCTGCATCAGGAACAATTCCAGGGTCAAATCCATTCAAGTCCTGCCCTGAAAGTCTGAGAAAGGGCTGAAGCTTGTTCAAGCTGCCTTTACAGCAAACAGACTGAAGGATGAGATGTCAAAGGCGTGGGACTGGAAAAGGAGGAGAAGAGCTGGTTAACATTGGGATTGAGGACAATTTGGTGATGGCATCTGTCACTCAGTGCCAGGGTCCATTCATCTGATAGACAAGTGAGGTTATAACATGTACCTACTGAAACACACCAGTACTAAGAAAAGAAGAATTAGGATTAATTGGCTTCACCTAGACCAATTAAAAAAAAAAAATTCGGCCGGGCGCGGTGGCTCAAGCCTGTAATCCCAGCACTTTGGGAGGCCGAGGCGGGTGGATCACAAGGTCAAGAGATCGAGACCATCCTGGTCAACATGGTGAAACCCCGTCTCTACTAAAAATACAAAAAAAGTAGCTGGGCATGGTAGCATATGCCTGTAATCCAAGCTACTCAAGAGGCTGAGGCAGGAGAATTGCCTGAACCCAGGAGGCAGAGGTTGCGGTGAGCCGAGATCGCGCCATTGCACTCCAGCCTGGGTAACAAGAGCGAAACTCCGTCTCAGGAAAAAAAAAAAAAAAAAAAAAAAAAAATTCCAAATAGACTGAACTGCAGATTATTTTCTGTGGCTACAAAATTAAATTCAGATTGGCCGGGTGCTGTGGCTCAAGCCTGTAATCCCAGCACTTTGGGAGGCCGAGGCGTGTGGATCACGAGGTCGAGACATCGAGACCATCCTGGTCAACATGGTGAAACCCCGTCTCTACTAAAAATACAAAAAAATTAGCTGGGCATGGTGGCGCGTGCCTGTAATCCCAGCTACTCAGGAGGCTGAGGCAGGAGAATTGCCTGAACCCAGGAGGTGGAGGTTGCGGTGAGCCGAGATCGTGCCATTGCACTCCAGCCTGGGTAACAAGAGTGAAACTCTGTCTCAAAAAAAAAAAAAGAAAAAAAAAAATTAAATTCAGATTAAACTCTGAAATAAAATACCACAGCAAAATATAGACTTGGCCATAACTGATCTGATGGTATTATTAACAACTACAATGTATTTTTAGTGTTGTTTCAGATTTTCAAAGCATTTACAATGAAGATTTTCCATTTTTTTTTTTTTTTTTTTTGAGATGGAGTCTTACTCTTTTGCCCAGGCTGGAACGCAGTGGCATAAACTTGGTTCACTGCAGCCTTCACCTCTTGGGTTCAAGTGATTTTCTCACCTTAGCCTCCCGAGTGGCTGGGATTACAGGCATGTGCCACCATGCCTAGCTAATTTTTACATTTTTAGTAGAGACAGGGTTTCACCATGTTGGCCACGCTGGTCTCAAATTCCTGACCTCAAATGATCCACCCGCCTAGGCCTCCCAAAGTGCTATGATTATAGGCATAAGCCACCACACCTGGCCAAGATTTTCAAATGGCCTTCTGAGGTGGTTATGGCAGTAATTTCACCTAACCTCCAACAGAGGAAGAGCTAG